TGATTTTAAAGTTTGTTGTTAATATAACAAATTAGTTCTGTAATTATTATTATTTAATAAACCAACGTTGCCAAAAAATTTAAAGACTATATTATTTTTAAATAGGATCCAATATAAATAATTTTGACATCTAATTTGTTGTTTATATTTTGCTACTACGTAAAAAATGTTTATATTAAATTATTTTAAATTTTGTTGTTAATAGGTATAACAAATTATTACTGTTATTATTATTTTTATTAAACCAGTCTTTGCTTAAAAACATTAAAAATAATTTTCCTACATCCAAAATAACAAGTATCATTGCAGTGTAACAACAGAATATTAATAAAAAAAAATGCAAAATATATAGACATACTATCCCTAACTAAGTAAAGCTAAACAAAAATAATGTGTCCTTATCTTTATATGACTCCGCAAAAAATCTACCGGCTTCTTTTATAGCATTGCCACCGACCGCTGTCGGGTTTCTCGGAAAGAAACATACGTCGCCGGGCGACAACTAAAATCCAGTTAATATTTTATTATAATCGATCCTGACGAATAAATGAATTTCATAAATGAATGAATTTTATAAACGAATGGTTCTTGCTGCCGAATTACTAGAATACAATATTTCAAGGCAGATGACGCATCTATTCGATAATTTTTATTCGAATAGTTTTCAACGAATTTTTCTTAGTAGCTATCGAATTATTCGAATGAATTGCAACTATCGCATGTTTCGATAGTATTCATTCGATAGTTCCCACTACTAGTTAAAATGGATACTTGTTTAGTTTTGAGAACCTATTTTACAAACTAATGTTTTAGAATGTAGACTGTTTGGGGGGGGGGGATTTGACCAGTTAATGACATTAATTGATATTTAATAATTAAAATATCAAGAGACAATTTTTAATCGGCATTAAATGATCTACATATCTGTGCTAAGAAGAGAAAATAAGTCAGTGACTCTGAGCTTTTTTAGAAAAATACTCCAGTGATAACCCATATGCACGTCCCTGGTGGATCTGTTGACACTGTTTTAGCATTCAAATATGTATTATTATTATTTATAGTAACTTTAACTCTCAAAATTTTATTCGAATTGTTAAAAGCACTAGGAAGAAAATTATAATAAAATGAAAAAAAAAAAGAATTTAATCCCCTGTAGCTACGAAACAAAAGCAAAATCGGACCTATGTTGATATGAAAAATAAATCTTATTTTTACAGGGAGAATCTCTCTATGAAAGATGGCACATGTATACACCCTGTATAAGCTACTTTAGGGTATTTATCAAAAATACTGGCTTTTTTCCGCGACTTCGTCCGCGTTACACCTCGTATCATCTTTATACGTTATTATGTATTTAAAAAAATCGGAAAATTTAAAAAACGTTTTTTATTTTTTTATTCCCTGTGTAAATAAATATATACAGGGTGGGCCACTGAAAACTTACAATGGCTATAATTTCTAAACCAAAAAAGATATAAAAAAAATAAAAAATACCGTTTCTATAATATCGAGGGGGAATACATATGACGTATTTTTTGAAACACCCCGACCTACCCCTAAGGCGGTACCACTACTCACTTGAAAATCTTAAATGGCAACACCCCACGTGTGGCGCCTTTTTGGAAAGCCCATGAAAAATGCTAAACGATGATCGTAAAGTTTTTAGGGTGAAATTGAAAAACTACCCCTTACACGAAAAATTAGGTGGACATTAATGAGAAAAGTGATTTTTTCAGAATAAGTTACAAATTGGGATCCAGCTAAATGAGCTCTTAAATTACCAGAAACACATCAGAATATGTCACAACCACACCTATAGGTTTGGAATCAGTACTAAATTTTATACCTAGTAAGTGATGCGTCAACTAACAAGTATAGTATAAAAAAGAATTATTAATATAGAGTGTATTACTATACAATTTTCTTCTGCTTATTTATAAAATGACTTTTCTTTCAAATGTGAGAAATACCAGTAAAATAAAACATAATTTTTGGTTTGGTTTGGTGTTTGATATTCTAACTACATCTATTACAAACCTTAAGTGCTTTTAGTGAGTAACTGTATTTTTGATTATTCTTTGTGTATCCTGTAAAGTAAAAAAATAAATATTTCAAGAAATATAAAAACAATGCAATAGATATCAAACAGATTCATAAAAACTGCTTACAATTATTGTACATATTATATATTTCAAGTGTTATTTGATCTTTGGTCCCATTACCAACATTACCTTATTTAGGTCTTCTCTACTAATACAACTTTTAAACCTGTTTTAAACCTTCTTTATATTTTAAAACTGATTTACAACAATCTGTAATGCCCAAGTGCTGTTTCCTGAAAAAGTTTTAATCTATTTATTATCATAATAAACATATTACAAACCTGTAAATTACTGATATGAGGAAACTTCTCAAAATAATTAGAGACCTTTTTACAAACATCTGGACTAATTTATTTTCACGAATTTGTGGACGAGTCAACGCTTTCTAATACGTTTTTAAGCGTTTTACACATTTTTAATATATTCCAGCCTATTCCTTCAGTTCCTGATCGATGAAAATATTATTTATAACTATATAATTAGTACTGCAGACTGCAGGTTAAATAAAAGAACAAAATCAAGTAGAATTTGTGAATAAAAACTCAAAAAATAATGAAAATATTTAGAAAAAGGAACCGTAAACGTCAATGTCAGCCAAGTGTCAGAGTTCAATTGGATCTACCACAGATTATCAATTTGAACGATTTGAAGTATAGTCGATTCCGGTCTAGAGATTTTCGTTTTTTAAGCCTCCCATACTGAAGTCCGCCATATTGGAAAGTTTTAAATGAATACAAATATACCTTCTGAGATACAGCCGAGAACTATTCTTAGTGGAACATCCTGTACAGGTTATTCCAAAAATTCCTTAAACCAAGGTTGTATTATACTACTTATTATACTACTATTGTATTATACTACTATCCAATGATTCATATGAATAAATATGTTTTATACTACTCACGGCAGCAGAAAATGGGGTCAGGGTCACCTGTATTACTCGATACACAGGATGAGTCTTAAATAACTGCAAATATTTTTAGGGGTGGTATCTTTCGACCGCAGGAACACGAGTCTGTTAGTTTTTTTTCAGAATAAGTTACAAATTGGGATCCAGCTAAATGAGCTCTTTTTCAAACTACCCCGACCCACCCCTAGGTGCCACCCCCTCACTTCTAACCTCAAGATAGCGATACCCCACTTGTGACACATCTTTGTAAAGCGTATAAAAAATGCTGAACGACTGTCATAAAAAAGAACGAAAAAAATAGAGACTAAAAATAAAACAAAAATGTCAAAACGTGTCAAAATCAATAGAATGAATTATTTTTGTATCCCATGAACCATTGCGAGAAAAAAAAGCTGGTACAAAGAAATTTATTATAACTCTTAATGAAGACCTCATACATTTTCAGCAAGATGGAGTCCCTTCGCATTATTCTATTGTCACAAGGCGGTGGTTGGATAAATATTATCCAAGGCAATGGATTGGCAGAAGGGGTCTAATCGAGTGGGCGCCAAGGTCACCTGATCTCACTCCTTTAGACTTTTCCTTGTGGGGTTACACTAAATCCATAGTGTACAAGACAAAACCAGGTTCGTTGCAAGAATTGCGGCAGAAGAGAACTGAAGCATGTCGAAATATTCCGAGAGATATTCAAAATCGTTTGTATTTTTGTATGGAACAAAACGGCTGTCATTTTGAGCAATTATTAAAATAAATTATCATTTTAAATTTCTTTCAAATTGTCACATCTACATTTCTTGTCACTAACCAGTAATTAAGTTGAAGTCTGTATGACCATCGTTTACCAATTTCAATTAGCTTTCCAAAGAAGTGTCACAAGTGGGGTATCGCTATCTTGAGATTAGAAGTTAGGGGGTGCCACCTAGGGGTGGGTTGGGGTGGTTTGAAAAATACTTTATTTGCGTCATTTAGCTGGGTTCCAATTTGTAACTTATGCTGAAAAAATCACCTTTTTCATTAATGTCCACCTAATTGTTCGTGTAAGGGTGGTTTTTCAATTTCACCCTAAAAACTTTATGATCATCATTTAGCATTTTTCATGAGCTTTCCAAAAAGACGCCACAAGTGGGGTGTTGCCATTTAAGATTTTCAAGTGAGTAGGGGTGCCTCCTAAGGGGTAGGTCGGGGTGGTTCAAAAAATACGTCATATGTATTATTCCCCCTCGATATTATAGAAACGGTATTTTTTATTTTTTTGATATCTTTTTTGGTTTAAAAATTAAAGCCATTGTAAGTTTTCAGTGGGCCACCCTGTATATACCTTTCATTTAAAAAAAGAATAATTAAAATTGGTGAAAAAAAAATCCTAAAAAACCCTTTTAGGAAAGCCTTAGCTTATCCTTTCAAAAAAGCTTTTACTATATACAGGGTGAGTCTTAAATAAGGGAAAATATTTTCAGGGTTGATAAATCTCTATAAAAGAAACAAATTTTCTCTTTACCGTTTTTCAAATAAATCCAAAATAACCGAGTTTGAAAATTTCAAAAAAAAATATTTTTGCTTTAAACTTTCAGAACTGGATCTTTTCTGGGTTTTCTTTTTTGTAAATTTATCTAGTTCTGATGTTGCTAGTACTAATGAAAAACATCACTTAATTAATTAACTAATGTTTTTTAACTAAAACCTAATAAAAATTACAAATTTTTTTCAAAAATTCTTAATTTGGGGTCGAAATATACTACCCCTAAAAATATTTGCACTTACTTAAGACTCACCTTGTATATATGGATTTCTCTAATTTTCTAGTATCTCATTAAAGTAAAAATGTAACATTTATTTTTATTACCAAGTGCTAGATGTTTGGAATAAGTCTCTACGTAGTCCCGTAATTTCAAAGAAGTATAAAAATTTACACTAAAATTAAATTTATTATGATAAACACGGAAGTTGCAAAAAATAGACACTACTAAATATGAAAACGTCCTCCTTACCCATGGGAAAAGCCTCGGGAAATAAATATCCCATTAAGCCAGAGAATGCCTGGAATATGAAGTATTCCTCCTCTAAATGAAGATCCTTGATTTTTAATTCGTCTCCCGTGGGAATATCCAGGAATTTTAAGCCCGAGTCTGCCGTCGACTTGGATGATGTCATGCTGGCGTTGTACTGTGATTTGGACTTGTCATTTAGGGAGTTGACTGGAGTTGGGGTGCTGGATACTGGTCTGAAAAGAAAATATAATATTTTAGAGTTTATTTGAAGTTAAGATTTTTTATAAATGACAGCACAGTAAAACAAAGAAACAAATAATAATATACAAAACATTTTAACCTAGTATCAATCCTTTTACTTTAAGATACTTAAAGCGGACTTCCACCAAACGGATTCAAACTACACTCAGTTGCAAAAAAAACGCAACGGAGAAATTTTTGGTTAAATTTAATTATTATATTTTTGTTAATTTTAGCCCTATGTTCGTGAATTTTTTAGCAAACTGTATATAATTAATTCAACTTTAATTTGTAAACTCGTTTTTTTGGATACTTTAGTCTTTCGCATATTATACAGGGTTAATGGAGGGGCTGTTTATTTTACCTTAAGTTTAAAACACCCGGTGCAATAATTTCGTTTGGAAATTTTCCTAAAATATAATTTTACCATCAGAACCATGACTCCTGAGCATTTTGTTTCTTGATTCATGTTAATACATACTTTGGTTAATTTTTAAGAGCGAAATGAACTGATCACGATCAATTTGCAATTTTTTCAATTTTCATTACTTTTTGATGTAATTTTTAATTATCACAAGATGGTTTTGGTAACTATAGTCATAACGTCACATTACGCTGCATAGGATACTCTATACTTAATTAAAAAAAAAAGTTAAAGACTAACGATACAGTCCTGGTTTTAATAAACATTAATAACGATAACAGAACTAACGATACCTATATTAAAGAAAACATCTGTAATACTCAAGTATACAAACAGAAAAAAAAAATTGGAACAAATACCCTAATATTTTGTATTGACTCCCTTATGGCCGACGAATATGGCCGACCTAGTTACGAAAATTGGTAATTTTTTTTTAATGAAAAATAAGTTGGCGTTAGCGAATTCAGAAACTGATTTACTCTTTGGTCAACAATAACATTTTTTAGGATTGTCAAGTTGACATTAAAGTTAGGTTATTAGGAGGTTGTCATAAATAAAAACATAGATTATTGAAATTTATTAATAAGAATAAAGGTATTTTACCGCAGATCCGAAGAGATTTTACTTAAAGGTATTTTATAAACTTTCTCAGTGAGAATATTAACTCCCCTGTTTCTAATATTCCAGTTAAAGTATAACTAAAGTAAGAACTATAGGAACTGAATTTTTGTTTTCATTTTTTGACAATATCTGAGAGTTCCTAGAATTATCAAGATTGTTGAATAATTATAGTTGTTTAATAAGTGAAATTAATAGAAGACTTGGAAATAGGATAATGCGTTTCATGTTATAGTTGAGAGATCACCCCATTTCGCTTAATTTGTTTTTATTTCAGTACAGTTAATCACAAATTGAATTGATGTGTGCAAAAACAGCTATATATTTTCAAACATCTTATTTAAATAGTTCCTTTTATATACTGTTAAACTGTATCAACTACAAAGTCTTTAGCAAAAAGTTATAAGGTAATAAATTTTGTAGATATAATTTATGAAAATTTATATATAAAGATTAGAACACAATCCTCTGAGGGAAAAAGAAATACTCAAAAACTCATTAAATATACTTTATTAAAAATAACAACATACAAAAACATCCATGCAAACTGTAATAATCAGAACATTATCTTCATTATACCTTTACCTATCCACATTATACCTTTACTTATCCACATTATACCTTTATTAAATTTGTGTTCACACTCCTGTCAGGAAAGCCAGAAATGTTTGTTTAAATATTAACTTATTTTAAAATACCAGAAACACATCAGAATATGTCACAACCACAACTATAGGTTTGGAATCAGTACTAAATTTTATACCTAGTAAGTGATGCGTCAACTAACAAGTATAGTATAAAAAAGAATTATTAATATAGAGTGTATTACTACACAATTTTCTTCTGCTTATTTATAAAATGACTTTCCTTTCAAACGTGAGAAATACCAGTAAAATAAAACATAATTTTTGGTTTGGTTTGGTGTTTGATATTCTAACTACATCTATTACAAACCTTAAGTGCTTTTAGTGAGTAACTGTATTTTTGATTATTCTTTGTGTATCCTGTAAAGTAAAAAAATAAATATTTCAAGAAATATAAAAACAATGCAATAGATATCAAACAGATTCATAAAAACTGCTTACAATTATTGTACATATTATATATTTCAAGTGTTATTTGATCTTTGGTCCCATTACCAACATTACCTTATTTAGGTCTTCTCTACTAATGCAACTTTTAAACCTGTTTTAAACCTTCTTTATATTTTAAAACTGATTTACAACAATCTGTAATGCCCGCGCTGTTTCCTGAAAAAGTTTTAATCTATTTATTATCATAATAAACATATTACAAACCTGTAAATTACTGATATGAGGAAACTTCTCAAAATAATTAGAGACCTTTTTACAAACATCTGGACTAATATATTTTCACGAATTTGTGGACGAGTCAACGCTTTCTAATACGTTTTTAAGCGTTTTACACATTTTTAACATCTTCCAGCCTATTCCTTCAGTTCTTGATCGATGAAAATATTATTTATAACTATATAATTAGTACTGCAGACTGCAGGTTAAATAAAAGAACAAAATCAAGTAGAATTTGTGAATAAAAACTCAAAAAATAATGAAAATATTTAGAAAAAAGAACCGTAAACGTCAATGTCAGCCAAGTGTCAGAGTTCAATTGGATCTACCACAGATTATCAATTTGAACGATTTGAAGTATAGTCGATTCCGGTCTAGAGATTTTCGTTTTTTAAGCCTCCCATACTGAAGTCCGCCATATTGGGAAGTTTTAAATGAATACAAGTATACCTTCTGAGATACAGCCGAGAACTATTCTTATTGGAACATCCTGTACAGGTTATTCCAAAAATTCCTTAAACCAAGGTTGTATTATACTACTTCAATGATTCATATGAATAAATATGTTTTATAGTACTCACGGCAGCAGAAAATGGGGTCAGGGTCACCTGTATTACTCGATACACAGGATGAGTCTTAAATAACTGCAAATATTTTTAGGGGTGGTATCTTTCGACCGCAGGAACACGAGTCTGTTAGTTTTATTTCGACAAAAAAGATGTTGAAAATCGTACCTTTTCTTTTAAATTTCCTGTATATTTTAGAAAACTTTTTAGAACTGCCTGTTCACCGTAAATTTTCCCACGGTATAATTTCTTAATCAGAATCTCTAATATTAACCATGGTTACGGCTAGTTACGGCACAAAAAGGAGAAGCAAATACAGAATTTTTTTTTAAATAAATCTTGAAAAACAGTAAAAAGAAATAACGCTTCTTTCATCGAGATCTACCAGCCCTAAAAATATTTGAACTTATTTAAGACTCACCCTGTACTAATATTTACAACTATAAATAAATATATAATATAATTATTTGCATTGCATCATTTATGAATACATATTATACTGAGTGGCCCATCAAAAACGTTCCGCAAGGCATAACGGCCAGGGAATTTATTTTTTCAAAAAATCCAAAAACACGTCAATTTTGTTTGTGAGGGGGACAACTTTTGCCCCAAAAATAATTGCAAAATATTTAACCCTCTAAGAGGGGGTGTCATCCCCCAACTTTTTTCAAATGGAAAGAGGGGTCAAGTGGCACCGCAGTGAAAAGTGCTTTTTATTCTCTATATTTCCCCGCTTCGTTTTTGAAAATCTGTCGAGTCATTGAGAATATATGAAGGATTGAAATTTGAACAGTTTATTTAAGCATTTATCAGAGCAAATGATAATTAAGGATAAATTCGACCAATTTGCTGTTTTTTCTTATTATTTCTAAATGTTTACGCATTTTTTCACTTGCCACAACGTTGAACGATCAGGTGCGGTAGTTGCTAGATAACTGTTCTGTGATTTGTACGTTGAAGTTCTTCTCAATATCGTTAAACTGACCTACAATAGAATTTCCAAAAATACCAGCCCACACGTTCAATTTCTGAGGGTTTTGTGTGTGCACCTTGTGAAAAACTCTGGGGGTTGTCCTCAGCCCAGTACCGACAGTTGTGCCGATTAACTACACCGTTGAAAAAGAAAGTACACTCATCCGAAAAACCCACATTAAATTGGAAATTATTATCATTCGCCACTCGTTCACTCAGAGTTTCACAAAATTGCAAGCAACGATCAAAATCGTCTTCGTTGAGTTCTTGTACCAACTGAATTTTGTACGGGTGGAACTTGGTGTTTTTTTAATATTCTTTGGAAACTTACAGTACAATTCCCGCCGGTCTCATTGGCTAATTTTTTTGTACTCAGAATACTGTCCATGGCAACTTGGCCCAATACGAATACCTCCATAGCTTCATTTACTACAGGATTTTCCCTCTGTCTCTTTTTATTCATAACGGAAGTTTCGTGAAATTTTGCTACTAACTGGCGAACAATTTTGCCATAAAGATGTTTGTCAGGATGGGGTTCATTGAATATCTGCGCAACCTGATTGTAAACATCTAGAAATCATAAGAAAAAACAGCAAATTTACTCTGATAAATGTTTAAATAAACATTTCAAATTTCAATCCTTCATATTTTCCCAACGACTTGACCGATCTTCAAAAACGAAGCCGGAATGTATAGAGAATAGAAAGCCCTTTTCATTGCGATACCCCTTGAGCCCCCTACCCATTTGAAAAAAGTTGGGGGATGACACCACTGCTTAGAGGGTTGAAGATTTTACAATAATTTTTGGGGCAAAAGTTGTCCCCCTCACAAACAAAATTGACGTGTTTTTGAATTTTCTGAAAAAAAAATTACCCTGGCCGTTATGCCTTGCGGAACGTTTTCGATGGGCCACCCTGTATATCAATAATACCTACATTCTGGAACATATGTATATAAATTAAATAAATTAAGAATGTTTAAATATTATTACATTATAAATCTTGTTGTATTACTACTGTCAGATCTACAAGTCGCGGACCTGAACAATTATTATAATTTAAATAAATGAAAGAGTGTAGTTAAAGTAGAATTTATATCTAATTTAAAAAAAGTTGAAGTTCTTAGGCAGTGTAGAATGTTAAAAAACACTGGTGTGTCAATCTCACAAGATCTTACTGTGATACAAAGAGAAGAAAACAAGATATTAAGAAGACATTTAAAAAAGGCGAACAAGAGAGAACCCTATCAACAAATCCTACATTAAGGGGAATAAACTGTACATTGAAAATAGATCGTATACTGTTGAGGACTTGAGACAAAATTCAGAGGAATTAGAAATAATAACTAACAATAGTGCACCCTCAACTCCAGCTCCTATAAGTGAAAGAAAACTACTAGAGAAAGAATTATTAGGAGAAGAATACAAGGACGATAGGATCCAACAGCATAGTGAGGCACTCTCCAAGAAAACCAGCAACGAAAACAATAGTGTACCTATAAACAAATCTAAGACTACTCAAAAAGTTCCTGATCAGATAACAGCAAGACGTTTGAGATTAGGATCTTAGTCGGGTATTTATAAGTTTTATTGGTTTGTAACTGGATTTGTATGACGAAATGATAATATATATTTTTTTGGTATGTTGAACACATAATATGCTTTAAAAATAATTGATAAGTAACAAGACGCATTTATCTCATTTATTATTAAGTATACATATCTTTATCAAATGGATGCGTACTTAAAAGATTTTGTAATATCGGAAAAAGAATGTATTGTAATCAGTGACAGTGCCGAGTATTTCTATAATGTACAAGCCTTAAGTGTATTTTTTTTTCTTAATTTTTTTATGTTTTTTTTTCTCTTATTCTAACACTTGTACTATAGAAAATTTTTATTTATATTTTATGTAGATTTGGTATAATATTAAGTTGATTATTTTGTGTTGAAATATTATATATTTATTCTCAAATCAATCTCAAATTGTCATGTGATTTTGGTTGTATGCAATGCAATCGTTTTTTTTTTATTATTTTAACTTGTAAATTTATATGTAGTTTTTAATTTGACTTATTAACTAGTATTATATTTTTTATTTATAATTCAAGCCCATATATTTATTTAATTCAAACATTTAACTATTTCAAACAAAGCTACTTTGATAGACACCCCGTACAAGTTTTCGGACTTCTGGGGTCTTTCAATTTATTTCTTGAGTTGGAAATTGATTATTTTGTATTGATTTTAAATATAAATATTCTATATGATGAATATATTTGTTATTTTTTAAATGATGTAAATTAAAAAAAAAATGTAAAAACAAATGAAAATATACACCGTTGCTTTTTTTTATTATTAATTAACTACTTTATTTATGCTGTACTAGAATTGAAAAAATGCAGTCACTGCAGAACTGAAACGGTGTACATTTATTAAACAAATTATGTCTGGCAGTTTGTAAATATTTGTATTAATTAGGTTACTCTTATATTATTTAACATAAGGAATGTAATTTTTTTTGTATGACTTGAGAAATAAAGATTATTATATTATTATTATTATAATTTGTTTTAATGCCAGTAAAGATCAAATATCTTAATGTATTTAATTATCAGTTTGTTTTGATTAGTTACTTATCAGTATGGACTTAAATCGTTCAAATAAAATATCTCTCTGTATTCAGTTCTACGTTAGTTATTCATGGTCATGTACCGTTTGTAATTTTAAATTTATTTTTATATTATTAACGCGACACAACAAAAATAAAATGTACAACATTGCTGTGATTGGGGGTGGATGTATGGGCTTAGCATCTGCCTTAGAAATACAAAAATTATTAAAAAATAACGTTCAAGTGACTATATTTGCTGAGAAATTCACCCCAGATACTACAAGTGATATTGCTGCCGGATTATGGGAACCTTATTTGTTAGGGGAAACTGAACCAGAAAATTTGATAAGATGGGGTAAAGGAACTTATGATTATTTGACTCAACTCTGGCAAGAAGGTGAGTTATTCTGAGTAAGTTATTAATCTTAATTTTAAATACTAAAACGTCTTAGCAGTCTACAGCAACTCAATATAATTATTCTACTACCGTATGATCGAAAAAAAACGGCGTCCAGTTGGCTGGGAAATGACGATCGATGACATTTCCCATATAAATTTACATATAAAATGACAGCGATCTTCATTGCATAGCAATCGTTGACGCCGTTTTTTCTCGATCATACGGTATATCGGTCAAGATAATGGTAAATAATACCTAATAGACTAATAGCTAATAGATAGGATACCCAATAGACAATTTAAAATTATTAATTCACTTTTTATTGGTATTAAAAATTAAAAAGAAAATAATTACAACAGCAATTATAATATTGTCATATCTATTTAAATCCAGATATATGAATTTTGATTCCATTTATTTTTTTTCTGCAAAAAAATTCAATTTTCTGTCAAATAGTATGAATGGCAATAATATAATTTGGCAATACGATGGCAATAATATTTTGTAACATACAGGCAATCCGGCAATAGTGCGTCGGGCATCTGTAGCTCCTGGATTAAGAAACTGTATTTCGGGAAGATATTTTAACTTCTATAGGGTGGTTCAAAAAAGTGTGAGTTGTTCGGGACGATTTTCAAGAGAATATTTTCCAACCCAACCGACAACCGACATTCTTTTCGTAAAATGGTCCTTCTAAATATTTACTACATTTTTTGTCTCTTGTAAAAAACGCCACAGAGCATACATTTTAGGAAAAAACAATATGTTTTTAATGCTGACCCTCAAAAATGTTTTTGTCAAATCAAGCTATGTATCTATTATGCTCTAAACGAAGCACTTTTGTATAAAGGTAAATTATGTGCTTAACTTATTTTATTCACTTAGTGTTATTATTTATTTACTTAGTCTTATTAACTTATTTTGATTAAAAAATACGTAGTTGTTCTATGTCCACGGAATATTGTAACTCCCTGTATATTTTGTAAGTCTGCTTTGGAAAAATAAATTCTCCAAAAAATATTTTCTCAAAAACTATGCCATGTGGTGTTTTTTTACAAGAGACAAAAATTGTAGTAAATACTAGGGGGACTATTTTACGAAAAGTAAATCTGTGATCGATGGACTTGGGGAATATTTATACTAAAATTTATGTAGGGTTGGGGGTAGTTTTCACCCTTCCCGTGTTTTTTCTTGATTTTTGTGAAAATAAAATTATAAAGCACTTAGCAAAACATAGACACCCAAAATATCATTCAAATCAGAATAACGGTTCCTAAAATATCTGAAAAAATGTTTTTATTTCTTTTTAAAGTTTGATGCCCTCTAGTGAACAAACGAAGCAATTTTGTAGAGAGGTAAATTGTGTCCAATGAACTTATTTTGATTCCAAAAATACGTAGTAGTTCTATGTGCACGGAATATTGGGACACCCTGTATTTTAAATACTCGCTTCCATTGTCTGCATATTTTATAACGAATTTGCGTGAAAATTTTAAACTAGGCACCTGATATAGAGTTTTTTGGATCGACAGGTCACCCTGTATACAGAGTGGCCCGAACTGTATTCCGGAAACTTCAGCATAAAAACAGTATATTCTGCAGATAAAAATCAGTAAAAAAGTTTGTATAAGTGTGTGTCCTAGAATGCTTAGTTTAGGAGATACAGGGTATTATTATATGTAGGTGTAGAAGTTTCATTTTTATATCGATTGTTTCCAAATAATTTCGGAAGTAATGTCAAATTTGATTGAAAATTGGGGTCTGCGAGTTTTTTGACATAAGAAATTTGATTTTGATATCAATATCACTCCTACTTGTAGAGGGCGCCAACTACATATTTTTTAACTGGTTTGAAGAATAACAACTTTTCGTCCGTACCTGCATAAAACTACTGAGTAAAAAAATATACATTTACAACGTTTTCTACGCAAAAAAGGTCTCTTGGCAAAAATCGCTACCAATAATGGTTCTTGAGATATTTGGAATCTAAATTATCGATACCTGTCATCATTGACACAAAATTAATGTTGACTAAATACCTAGTTATTAGTCTGAAATTATAAATTTGAAATGTTTTTAACCCAAAAGTTCAACAGAAACTGTTTTATTGTCATTTTTTCGAAGAAAAATTTATGACTAATTTAAAAAAATAAAAACTTTACCTAAATTTATCATTTCAGTCAAATAACTATCTACTCAACATGTTTATTCTTTATCAGTAATTACATGTATTGACTAATACCATTCTAGATATCTTGAGAACGGTTGCTCGTATCGACTTTTATCAAGAGACATTTTTTGCGTAAAAAATCACAGAAATATTTATTCACTCAGTACTTTTATACAGGTATGGGCGAAAAGTTATTACTCTTCAAAACAGTTAAAACACGTGTAGGTGGCTCTCTCTACAAGTGGGAGTCATATTGACATAAAAATCAAATTTCTCATGTCAAAAAACTCGCAGACACTAATTTTCATCCAAATATTGACATCACTTCAGAAATTATTTGGAAAAAATCGAAATAAAAATGAAACTTCTACACCCTGTGTCTCCGAATGTAAGCATATTAGGACACGCATTTATACAAAGTTTTCTACTTATTTTTACCCGCAGAATTTGCTGTAGAAATTCCCGGGATACAGTTTGGACTACCCTGTATAGTGCTTAGTAACTTAATATTGCAGGCAAAGCCAAAGAAGCAGGCATTTGCCTTCAGCCTTGTATAAATTTGAACGAGGAAGCCAGCGAAGAAACACCTGTTTGGCTACCCATAACTTTAGGCTACAGTAAACTCACTCCAGGCCATTTAAAAAGTTTAAACGAGCAATATAAATGGAATTTTAACGTGGGATATTCCTTTATTACTTTTACTTGGGAGGGCGCTATTTTTCTACCTTATTTGATGGTGAGTAGCTAGGAAATCTCAGAAAAAGCAGTAAATATAGAGAGGTTCAGAAATACATACTTTGTGATATAACATTTCACATGGCAAAACCTTAAGAATAAAATTTTTAACATACAGCTAGTCATTACAATATTATAATTATTTTATTTCTATATATAATACCTAATAAAAAAACTTATATAATTACTAATATTTTAATAATTATTGTTTTGTGTGATCTATGAATACAGTTGACTTTTTTTTAAATTAATAAAATTTATAAATACTAGCTAATAATTGACAATAACTTAAAGCGAAAAATGTTCTGTATTGTATAAATTCATCATTCTATAAGCTATTCTATTGTTGGTAAATATTTTTACATTGTTAAATGCCTTAATTAATTTAATTTAATTTAATTCAATTCCTTAATTTCAGTTGTGAGTTCTATCATAAGATCGAAAAAAAAACGGCGTCAAAGACGGCTAGGGAATGACAATCGATAATAATTTTGGCGAGGTCAAGCCCTAGATGTCATTTACTTAGCCATTTTTAATGACGCTTATATACAGCCAGTTGGCCTTAAGAAGGTTGTAACTTATTTTTAGTATAGTAGTAAAAATTATTTTTAAATGGTGTAGTTTATTTTCGAGAAAAAATAATTTTTTGGAAATAGATTGTGTGTCTGGAAGCATTCAATCTTTTTTAATGTTTCTATGGCAAAATAAAACACTAATTTACCATTAGAAAACAAAACACTTTACTTTTGCAAACCATGTAAGCATCATCAGCAGATGATTAAAACTGACAATTTTGACAGTTTTTTGTCAGTTTTTAGTAAATGATCGTCTAGGGATTGACTTTGCCAGAAATACTGTCCATTGTCATTTTCCAGCCGTCTTTGACGCTGTTTTTTATCGATCATACTATTTATATGTTAGGATATCTCTATGTTTATTTATTTCTCTGAGTGTTAATGATTTCTGTTCAAGTACCGTATGACTGAGATTAAAATATAATTTATTGGGTTCTGGAATTGACAGGTAACAACTTTTATAAACTTTTTCAAATATTAAAAAAGTTTAGAAAGTTTAGACGTGCAATAGTAATCACAAAGAACGAAATTGAAAAAAAAAACAATATAACTATAAAAACTACATAAATAAAATACGGTGTTGTAGCAGTGTTTACATAAAATAACTATTTTATTTTGTGGATTTTCTTGCAGTGGCGAAATACATATATAGGATTTTTTGGGAGATGAATCCGCCACATAGGTATAGACATTTTTTAAAATAGGGATAGATAAAATTTTTTGCGAACTGAATGGACTACGTATACTTAACGGCTTCTTCCCACACAAATTAATTCATCGATATACCCGAGAAAGGCCCTCTCTGCAACAAAAATCTATAATTGATTATATGATTGCTAAACAAATATCTAAACTCAAATTCAAAGACTGCAGAGTTAAGAGAGGAGCAAATTGTGGATCCGACCACCGTCTGGTCGTTGCGGAATTAGTAGTACCTTTCCAGAGCAGAGCCAAAAGTATAGAATACACAACATCACAAGAACTAGAAATTGAAGAATCTGATTACTATTAATTAAGCTTCATTTACTACACGATGCCAGTATTAAATGGTTGTACCAGAGAAGATTAGATGTAGCCCTAGAGGAAGTGAAAGCCTGTAACGATGTAGAACTAGAGTATACCAACCTAAAAACCCTAATTAAAAAAGTAGCTTTGGAAGTTTTAGGTGAACAGAACATGCAGAAAAAAAAAAAGATGAACCAGCTTGGATAACTGACAGCATAAAGGCCTTAATCAATGACAAACAAAAATTCTATCAAAGATGGCTCTCAGACCGAACAGATACTAACTGGAGTCATTACAAGCAAAAAAATAGAGAGGTACGAGCCGCCATTAAGGTAGGAAAAACAGATATTTGGGAAAGAAGGTGCCAGCAAAGTGGAAAGCCTAATAGTGGGCGCACGGAGTACTGAGGTATGGAGAACAATCCGACAAATGAAAACCAATCAAACGGACAAGCTCTTGAATAGAATGGATATAGAAAAATGGCGCAACTACTATGCAGAATTACTGACAGAAAACCGACCAGAATTCCGAGCAGTAGAAGATGAGAACAACCTTGCAGGCACTTTAATGATAAGCAAAAGAGAAGTACATCAAAGTTTCAAAAGAATGAAAAATGGACGGTCACCAGGTCCTGGTAATATTGTAGCCGAATTGTTAAAGTGTGGAACCCAAAGACTACGCTGGCGTCTGGCAGAGCTATTTAACCAATGCTGCCTGCAAAGTAAACTACCCCGAGAATGGCGAGTGGCTCACATAGTGTCCATCTTTAAAAAGGGAAATCGTAACGACCCCACTTGTTATAGAGGCCTAAGCATTAACAGTTCGGTCAACAGACTTTTTGGAAAGGTGTTACAGGGTAGGCTCAGGGACAGTATTGGTGACAAAATCTCGGAAGACCAAAGCGGATTCACACCGGGGAAATCTTGCACAAATAACCTTTTTGTCCTGCACAGGTGATGGAAAAAAAGATAGCAGTAGATCAAGAAGTCCATCTAGCATTTATTGATTTGGAGAAAGCGTACGACTCTATTCCCCGCAGCAAGATATGGGAAGTATTGAATATCTTAGAAGTAGATAGACCTTTGCTTAAGATAATAAAATAGCTATATAAAGAAAATGAATCGTACGTTAAGATAGGACACAGGCTATCTAATCCAATTAACACCACAAAAGGGTTGCGACAAGGATGCAGCTTATCTCCTCTGATCTTCAACGCTTACGTCGAATTAGCCCTTAGGGAATGGAAGACGAAATATCAAGGTATGGGAATACCCATTGGGGACAACACACTATTTACCCTGAGCTTTGCAGACGATCAGGTCGTGATTGCGCAGGACTCATACGATCTAGAGTTCATGACTAAGAGGCTTTATCAAGTATACAACAAATGGGGACTTCAGGTTAGTCTAAAGAAGACCGAATACTTAGCTGTCAATTCCAACACTTGTTTTGAAGTCTTCATTAATGATAACGTCCAGATTCAACAAGTAGACAAATTTAAATACCTGGGTGCTACTATCAACAACGAGGGTTTGGGCAAAGAAGAAATACAAACCCGAATTCAGAAGAGCAAACAAGTTATTGGATGTCTTAACAGCCTCTGGTGGGACCGAAACTTATCTGCAACAACTAAAAAGAGACTTGGAAGAACATTGGTGGAGTCAGTTCTTTGCTATGGTTCAGAGCTGTGGACTCTGAGTGCAAACGCGAAGCGCAAAATCCAAGTGGTTGAAATGGACTACCTTAGAAGAAGTGCAGGTATATCTAGGATGGAAAAAAAGACAAACATCGAGGTCAGGCGTATCATGAATGCATCGGAGGAGACAGTACTGGATCGAATCGAAAAATCCAGCTAAAATGGTTTGGACATGTTCTGCGTATGCCGGAGAACAGGTGGCCACAAAGAGTTTTTCAATGGGCTCCCCAGGGCAGAAGAAAGAGAGGTAGACCTAGAAAATCTTGGAACGGAACGGTTACGGAAGCAATGGAAGCTCGTAACCTAGAAGCTGATGACGCTCTAAATCGAGATGTGTGGCGTAGGGTAACGGGAAGGCAGCAATAGGCTGTAGTTGGAAATGAGTATTAAATACTTAAACCAAATCCCGTTTTTATATATATATATATATATATATATATATATATATATATATATATATATATATATATATATATATAGATTTATTAAACCGCTTATACGAGCCCAAAAACTACGTTGCTTCATTGGGCTTAGACCCGATTTCGACATTTCAGGCCCGGGGTCGGGTCTGAGTACATTTCAGTGGTTATCGTCTAGAACGGTTTCCCCACTTCCCTGACCAAATTTCAGCTGGGCCTGAAAAAATGGTTTATATGTTTTTATATACGATTGGGGGTACACCGGTATTGTCACGGCGGCGCCACCTTCGACATTAGTATAAGTGTATAAGCCGATTTACGTTGAATCGATGTATTCAGACCCAAGAACCGGCAACACGGTAAAGCAAACTATTAAAGGGAAACGAAGATATAGCCGTGTTATATTTAGTAGAAAACAAAATGCTCATACTCTAATTAGAATATTAAGAAATTCAGACGAAAAAAATTAAAATAAGTATTCTTTTAAAATTATTCCTACTAGTTTCATTTAAAAGTGGGACGGTGGTTTCCACCCGGAGATTTTTTGTCTCATTTCGTTGTTTATGTATGCAACGGAATGTTGACCATATCTTTTATAGATGCTTTTATTGTCGAAACCGGTCGTTCGGCTAATAAATACTAGAAACAAAATTATTTCGATCGGCGGGTCAAAAATTGTACGAGTACCTACAAATTTACTTCGATGCTATGATTTCGTTGAAGAAGTACCTAATTTTTTTTTAATCTAAATCGATCAGCGATCGTCGCGTCGTGTCAAAGAATTGTAGGAGTAACTACAAAATTATTTCGATACTGTGATTTCGCTGTAGAAGTACCTAAAATTTTTTCGTCTAAATCGATCGTCGTGTCAAAAAAATGTACGAGTACCTAGAAATTTATTTAGATACTGTGACTTCGTTGTAGAAGTATTTAAAAATTATTTTCATTTAAATCGATCGTCGTATACCGGGTGCGTCTCAAAAGTAGCTCACCTCTACATCTTTTTTTATTTTGTCAGATAAAAAATCGAGTTTTGGTATGTTAGTATATAACATAAATTAGGATTGATTGACGTATTCAATTGTTTTTGGTCACTTCCTGTTTCACCGGAAATGACTACAACTTTTGATTTTTAAATGGCACCTCCGGTATATTTTTACATTATTCGATAGAAAATCACACTGAATAGAATGGCATATCATAAATATGTTAATTTTTGACATTTTCACATATGATTTATATGTAACATGCGGTTCATAATGACAATTTGACTCGAGTACCAAATTGTGGTACCAAATTATTCGTA